ACTGAGATTTGAATGTCCTGACCGCCCGACCCGACGCATCCGCTAGGGTCTTGCCCGCAGCAACCGTCCCGCCCGTTGGGGTCCCGCCCAGCCCGGGTTGCACGTTAGGGTCTTGCCCGCCCGACCCGACCCGACCCGTTTGTTGCGGTTTTCTCGCAAGCGTTTGAAGCACCATGCGTTAGTGTCCCGCCGGCTCGACCCGGCTCGACCGGGTCCTGCCTCCTCCCTGGCCCGACCCGCCAGGTAGGGCCCATTCGACCGTGGGGGCGCTGGCGCACAAAAGAGATTATGCACCCTGCTTTAGTGTCCCCCGCGCCCGACCCTGCCCGCCCGGGTGGGCTGAGGGGGGCCATGGCGTGCAAATTGAGTGATGCACCATGCTTTAGGGTCCCGCCCGCCCGACACGACCTGGTGCCTCGCCCGGCCCGACCCGCCCGCCAGGGTCGGACCCGCCCGAGCCGACCCGAGGATGCGCCATACTTTCTTGTCCCGCCCGCCCGATACCCCGTGTGATCTATCGCGTACAAGCCAGATGATGCACCATACCACGAAAGGAGGATACGTCCTGTGACAGGAGGAGGAGGAGGAGGAGGAGGAGGAGGAGGAGGAGGAGGAGGAGGAGGAGGAGGAGGAGAGGAGGAGGAGACCAGATGATCAGGAGGAGGGGGGCAGGAAGAGGAGGGAGGAAGAGGAGGAGGAGTAGGAGGAGGAGGCCAGAGGATTACGAGGAGGAGGAGGAGAAGGAGCCAGCCTGGCCGCCGCCGCCCTCGCTCTAATCGCTGCGTCCCGGGCCCGCGCGGCGGTTCGGCTTGCCAGGACGCGGAGGGGGCCGCCCAGGAACGTCCGTTGGAGATCTCTCCCTGTTGGCCTGGTTTGGACGTCCAGGAGGAGGAGGAGGAGGAGGAGGAGGAGGAGGAGGAGGACGGAGGTCTCTCAGAAGCCTCTCCCCTGGTCCTCCACCAGGTCTGGGGGGAGGTTGGAGTGGGGACCAGGTGGAGGACCAGGGGAGGCCCCTGGGAGGCCTACCACAAAACTCCCAGAAGCCTCCCCCAGGCCTGGTGGAGGACCCGGGGGGGCCTCGCCGCCCTGGTCATCCCAGAGACCCTCGTCGTCCACGACACCCCTTCCGACGGCCGCGACCCCAGACCTGGGGGAGGTCTGGTGGATGCCTCGCACCAAACCTCAAAGGCCTGGGGGAGGTCTTGCACAGGACCTTTATCGGAAGGGAGGGGTCGGGGGGTGTGGGGGGGGGACGAACGCGCGTTTCGCTCGAAACATCCCCGCAATCTGAGCGCGAACGGGCAAGTGTAGCCCCCCCCCCCTGCGGTTCCTCCTTTGGAGTGCTATGCCTGCAACATTGTTGACGGTGGAGGGGTCGGGGGGGGGGATTGGGGATGGAGCGGGTGCAAGTGTGCCTAAGCGCGATGATATTGAGCATGAGGCATGCGCAACTGGGTACGAGTTGGCTTATTGTTGGATCTCGCTGAGCATGGGGTGTCCTGACAAGGATACCGAGTGTGATATACAGCGGGTACGAGTGTGATAGGGCTAAGTATGAGCAAAGTGCAAGTGTTGGTCTGCGTAGGTGATGTTTCGCACAAGTACAGGAAGATGGTGAGTCCACATGGTTTGAGTGGTTTGCGTGTGACTAGAGCAGCAGTGCACGTAAACATGTATGAGTCGGGTTGTGCATAAGTAAGACTGGGTACGAGTGAGTCTGAGCCAGAGTGAGCGAGGACAGACATGCGTGAGTGGAGGATATGTGGGGGGGGCGACACGAACAACAAGAGTCCAATGCTTCGGATATGGGGAATCATCGCACGCCCCTCGTTTCGCACTGTCCAGGGGATGCTGGATTGTCAGGGCCCCATCACCGAATCGTTTCTAAGTGTTTCCCTGAGGTACTTATGTAGCCATTTTGATCCGGGATGGCCCCGCGCTCGAGGAACCGCATCGTTGACCTCTCCCCATGAGGGAAACTGGTAGATGCAAGACGACGACAGCCTTGCGGGCGCACGCCCCGAGCAGCTTGGCAGAAGTGGAACCAGACCTTCCTAAGAGATGGAAGCTCCAGTCGGGGGCTCGCGGGTGGTGTCCGCAGGGGTAGGGTTCCAGGGGATGCAGTCAACACGCCAGAAGAAGGACCAAGTTGGGCTCAGGAGTGGCTTCGTCTCCCGGTTGTTCCTTTGATCTAGGGTGGGGCATCAGCTTCGTGACCGAGGCTCGCTGTGGCCAGAAAAGCCGCTTCGTTCCTTGTTCTGCCGTCCTTCTGATAGCACGATGATTGCAGGAAAGGGCGTTCAGCCTGAGCTTGCTCTGTTCAGGGCCGCCCGACCCTCCAGCCCCACGTCTCCAGCCTGCCTTCCTGAAATGCCGAGCCGCCAAAAGCGAGCGATGCGTAGACGAGCGTCTTCTCCCACGGGCAGGAGGCAATGATTGGATTATTTACGGCGGTTCGCAGTGGCAGTTCGAGGAGGACGACGCCATGGACGCCGGTGTGGTCGTGGGGAGACTGGGCAAGGGGCCAGGGCGTCGAGGCACCTTCCGCTGACCGCTCGGCTTCTGGCAAAGGGTCAGCAGGAGGGTGGGGAGGGAAGATGGGGGAGGAGAACGATTGGTTACACGCTGTCGGCAAGGTGCGACGCCTTCCACGTTAAGATGTCGCTACGCAACTTCGTAGAGATGAATATACCCAATGCCACACCGCGCCACATCCTCTCCGCCGTCCTACGTATTCCTCGTCCGCCTCATTTGTCTCGTTCCTCCTCTTCTTCTCCTCCTCCTCCTTCTCCTCCTCTTCTCCTCCTCCAGCTCCTCTTCGTCCGGTGCCATTCTGGCTCACGCTTTCTTGGGTGGGCAGCCTCTCTTGAAGGGGCTACCCTGGAGGCAAATCGAGGCGGACACTCACATTTTCTTTCTTCAGATATCCGCCTGCTGGAATCGGCTCCATTCGAGTCCTTCCTGTAGATCCTGCGATCAGCTCAGGCGACGCAGCCAGCCCTGTTGGCAGCAAAGGGTTCGGCCAGAAGGGAACCAGATTGCATCCTTCTCCATCCGGCAAGGGCAAGTCTCCTCTCGGCCATGACCCGCTCGATGGGAACGACCGGTCGGCCACTTGTCGAGGCAAACGCCGAAGGGAGGAACACGAAGACCAACCTGCAGCCAAGGCGAACGAGATCACTGACTCCGAAGGCGACGACATAGGCAGCCCCGTCACACCGACAGGGGCTGGGTCGTCTGGGCAGCTGTTCGACACCTACGGAGTCTTTCTTGGTGGTGGCCGACCTCCAGACCGACAATGACGATTGCCAGCCTACAGGCCAGCTTGGCCGAGGCGCGGCAGGGCCACCATTGGCCACCCCCCAGATGTTCGACACCGCCGCTGGGGAATCGCCCCAGCCTGCGGCGGTGCGGCGTTCCCTGCCGACGTCTTGACTGAGCAGTCCGAGGGTGACGCCAAAGAGCCGCCGACGCCTGTTTTGCCACCGATCAACGCTGATTTCATGAATTTCCGGGTGGGAATGGAAGCGAATCGGAAGCGTGAGTCCAACGCCACCAAAGCCCAGATCCAGGCTTCCACCGCCTCGATTTGCAGAGCGCCGCGCTCAAGCAGGTCGTCGAGCAGGCCTCCTCTTTTTCCGCCACCATTGAGGAGCTCGAGGCCAAGCTCGAGGCAAATCTCGACGAGAAGCTGGGCCAGCGGACCGCCATCTCGCTCGGGAGTGCGCCTGCGACATCCCCCACCAGAAGCATCGGGATATCAACGCGGCCGCGAGGGACAAAACACAGGCGCGCACGACGCCACAATCGAATTGCGTTTGGCGGCCGGGGGGGCCCAACGCGCCCGCATCCGAGGTCACTCCAGCGAAGGGTTACTTTTGGCTCTGCAAGACGCACTTGTGCAAATAACCTTTGAATACCCCCCCGGCCTGCGAGCCGCAGCCCCTGACCCAGACCTTCGCCCGGCCGCCTTCGCGAGCGGGCGCCAAGTTCCAGTGGGCCCAGCCATTCCGACCCGACCAAAGTCTGGGTTGGCGGGCTCCCGCACAAGATGCTGGCCACCGTCATGCGTTCCCACGCCGAGTCGGTCAACACCGCTACGCGGCAGGACACCGCCGTCGCCGCCGAGGCTAAGTGCAATTGCTCCCTCGATCGCGTGCGCAACGATGGGCTTCAGTGGGCCGACCGCAAAAAGAGGGCTCACTCTTGCGGGCCCGCATGGACGCGAGCCCCGACATACGCAAGAAGAGCCGTTACCAATCCGCGGGCGGCCGCGCGGCCGACTGGAACGCGCGCGCCAGCGGATGCCCGGAGAAGACAGCGTCTGGCAGCAATGTTCCGTGGGCCCTTGCATTTGCACTTATGCAACCGCCGTCGGCTGCGGCGCGCCGCCCCCCCGCCCATTGCCACCCCGCCTGGGCAAGGGTACGGGCATCTTTCGCTCTCGAGACACATGGTCTAAAGCGGGGCATCCAGGGCGCGCGCGGGGGGCAGGGCGGCGGCCCAAACGGCGGTGAATATTCGTCGTCTTCCGATTGCTCTTCTGCGGGCTCGTCGGGCGGCGTCTGCAGCAGCGGCGCGCCGGCGGGTTGCCGTCCGTTTCAGATTCGAAGCAAGTTTTCTGCAGTCTCGTGGAACACGAAAGGGTTATTTGGCCCCCCAGTGCGCCGACAGCAACAACACGTGCTACACGCAGACTTGTTACCAGACTTGTTCAGGGGCATCGCGTTGCGGGTGTCCAGGAGGTCCACGGGGATCCAGAGGACGCGAGATTGCGCGTCAAATCCGAGGCCTTCATATTTCTGTAAGGTTCCATGTTCGGGAAGCAGCTGTAAGCAGCGCGATTTCTATCCATGCTACCCTCGTGGCCCTCCTTACTCACAACGCCCATCGCACTCGCACCCCAGGTCGACTCCGCAGCGTTCTCCTCTCGGGGCCCGCGGGGGCATTGCACGTCGCCGATGCCCGCCTCAGCAGTCTGGAGTTTTGCAGTGCCGTCGGCGGGCGGCGCGCGGGCAGTGCTCTACACTTTCAATGGAGCTGGGCGACTGGAACTTCCCTGGCCGCGGCGAGAGAAGGGCCCGCAGCGACGGGGAGACAGTCGCCCCCGCGAACGCGCTGGCCAGCAAGTTTAGCAGCTTGTTCCCAGAGCTTCTTGAAGTCCACCAGCCCGGGTTCACCCGCGCCCCCAGGTCACCCAGGGCGGCGCAAGTCTCGGGTGGACTGATCGGGCCCGCACCGATCGATCACTCCCCGGCCCAGGCCATCGACCAGTTCCCCGATCGCCTCGCCCTTGGGGGCCGAATAAAGCCGAACAACCCGCCCGACCACGCCCCCGCGCGCGCTGCGTTTTCGCCGCGCTCAAGACCGGGGTCTCCGAACATACCTCCGCGGGTCTCTCGCCGCCCATGGTTCGCCGAGGATGAGGGGTTTCTCTGTGAGATTGGGCCCCTCGCTCAAGATCTAGGGGCCGCCCTCCGGGGAGCCATAGAAGCTCCGCTGGCGCTGCCAAGCTTGCGCGGCGACGGCTCGCACTTCGGCCCGCGGGGGGCGCCGGCGAGCGCGCCGCCTGGGAGTTCGGCTTAATGCGCGCCGTCGCGAAGGGCAGCGTTGCCTTGGTTCGCCGCGCTGCGGGCTGCTGCCCGTTCCTCAGCTCCTTCGCGCAGGCCGAGGGCGTCGGCTGGACACGCGAGCGCCAGTTTCATGAGCATCAGCGCGCGCTTTCGCTTCAGAGGATCCAGAGGCGCCAGGAAGGCATCGAGAGAGCCCCCACGGCCCCGCAAAAGAAAGTCACCATGAAGGCCCGCATCGAGTCCCACGCTTCCGCCTGGGGCACGTACCAGAAAAAGGCTCCCCTCGCCGGGCTCGAGGATCTCGCGGGGCAGCAGTTGCGCGATCCTGACGACGTCGGCAGGGAGCTCGCTAGGCACTGGGGCCCGGTTCATCAGGACTTCCAGAGGAGCGCCACCGCGCGGGAGATCTTCGGGCCCTAGGTCCAGCAATGTCCTCTTGTGGTCACTTGGGACATCGAGTTCCCCGAGTTCGCGGACCTTTTCAGGGCATGTACGACGGCGCTCCAGGGCCGGACGGGCTTCCGCATTCTTGCCGGCCCCGAGATGGCCCCGAGCTCCAGGCTCTGCTCTTGCAGGTGCACATGCTCTACAATTCTGCAAGGGGAGCTCCAGGCAACGACTCTAACCGCGGCGCGGCCGGCATCCTTGCCACAGGCGAGCAAGCTGCGAAAGCCCTAGGGGCATGTATATTTTGGCCCACCGACTCCACGAGGCCAACCGCATTCAGCAACGCGCGCAACGAAGCTGTCTCGGTCGCTGTTAACGTTAATATTGGCACGATGCGTCAGCAGACGCGCACTCACGTCCAGAAGGGTCTCATCAAAGGGCGCAGCATGACCGGCAATAGCCTGGGCATCGAAGCAAAAGCTGTATCCTGGCACTGCCAGCACGCTTGTAAAGGTATCAGGTTTCGCCGCCTTCGACGCGGAGACGGCCGTCCCCGGCATCCTTGATATCATGATATCCTGGGTCCTCCTCGTCGTGAATGCTCCTGCTCGTCAAGATCGCTTCTTCTTCTTCTTCTTCTTCTTATTATTCTTATTATTCTTCTTCTTTGCAGGGCTCCGAGGGCGCCGCTTCTGGCGCAGAAAGGGGGTCAAGCAGGGGCGTCCGCTCTCGGGGTCATTGTTCAGTCTGGCTGTCGACCCCATCTTCCGCATGATGTGCCTCGAAATCCCCGGGGGCCTCGGAGTTGTTCGCGCGTTCGCCGACGACGTGGGTCTCGCATCCGAGGATATCTACCGTGCTCTGTTTCTGTCTCTGGAAGTTGGGATTATCGCCACCGGCGCTGCGGGCCTCGTCTTCCGCTTGAAAAAGTCAATCGCAGCGTCGTGTGGAAAGCCCATCTGGCAATAATTGCAAGCTAGGCTCCGACAGTACGGGGCCCGTGGCAGCAATTTCTTTCCAACTGGCGTTGCCGAGTACCTCGGGGCATTTCTGGGGCGGGAGGTAAAAAGGTTGGGCCGGGAAAAGGCCTACGAGGAAAATGGAGGGGAGGGCGAGGTCCATTATGAGTTTGTTTCTTGGCCTCGCCAAGAGTATCGCGCAGTTCAACATGCACGATTTATCTTGCCTCGCGTTTATTTACAGGGTAGTGTTTCTTATCGTCCGAGCTCGCCGTCTCAAGGCTTCGAGAAGCTGGCCAGTGCCCCACCAAGGCCCTTAGGAATACCATTCCCACCACGCTGCTGAGCGAGCTTTCGGAGATAGGTGGAGTCACGGAAATGCGTGATCTTACGTACATGCGCAGAGCGGCAATGTTCAGGCTGGCATTATACTCTTCCCCGTTCTTCGAGATGCGACGTGATATTCAGGAGTCCGCCTCTCGCGACGATTGCGTCATCCTGTGGCAGAGCCATCCCATCGTCCAGTCCTCGGCCATAATGAGCTCGATACAGGGATATGATGAGATACTGGCCCTTCCTCG